CTGGCGGGGGGGGGGTGGGAGGGAGCAGGGCTGGCTGGGGGAGACCCAGCCAGTGGGGAGTGGGGCTGCCCCGGGCGCACGCAGATCCCGTGGTGCTGCCCATCCCGCGCATGGTCCCGGCGCGGCACACGGGTAAGTCTGGCCCCGGGGATTCCATCCCACCCTGGCTCCACCCTCCCCTCCCCCCACTGTGTAGTTGTGTACTGCCTGGCTGGTCGACGCGCTCACGCAGCGTGACTCACGCAGTGCGAGTGTGTCGACCAGCCAGGCAGTACGCAGCTACGTACTGATACTCATTATAACAATAAAACGTAGGTAATTAGAAAATACCCAACATTTCTATGTCCGGTATTTTCTCAATTTGTTTCCCAGACAGAAAGTTCAAATACCAGACTGTCCGGTTCAAAACCGGACACCTGGCAACCCTAGGGTAGTGGGGTCTAGTGGGTTAGAGCAGGGAGGCTAGAAGCTAGGAATTCTGGGTTCTGTCCATGGTGTCCGGTTTTGAACCAGACAGTCCAGTATTTGAGCTTTCTGTTTGGGAAACAAATTGAGAAAATAGAAATGAGAAAATAGAAATGTCCGGTATTTTCTCAATCAGACAAATGTAGATTGTGATGTCATGTCAAGTGTGTCGAGTATTTTTGTTGAAACCGTCTGGCAACCCTATCTGTCCAACGCTTAACACACTAGGAGTGAACCAATTCAACTTGGGGAACCAGCCCAGCTCCAAACTGTCACGCCTGCACTTGGCTATTTGATGGCTGAATACACCTGTCTGGTGTGAGCAAAACTGGCCCATGCAGAGAAACAGGACCCGGCATTGCATGACAGCTTCCTCTACCTCCCGGGATGTCTATACCCCACCACAGCTTTTCCGCGCTTGCTGGAATCGCTCGCCCCGATATCGGCAGAGAGGCTGCAAGCAATATGGAACAATGACGACAGGTTGAAGATACTGGACATCAGCAGACATGGCTTTGGTTTGGATTGGCTAAAGTCTGTTCAAATGTGTTTATATGGCCAATAGGATGTACCATTAAGAAAACGGCCTGGTATAAATTTACTTGAACTTCACGCTAAGTTGGCTCGACCTCGACAGGAGTTGTGCTCCAGACACAGGCAAAGGGGGGCATATTTGGGTGGGCATATGGCTAAGTGGGTGGGCCCTGGCTAGGGTTGCCAGGTGTCCAGTATTGAACCGGACAGTTCGGTAGGCGATTCTTAAAGGGGCCACGCGCTTTCTTTCTTTCTTTCTTTCTTTCTTTCTTTCTTTCTTTCTTTCTTTCGTTTTTTGTTGTGTTTGTTTATTTAACAACTCTTGGGTCCTTTTTTTTCGGAATTTTTTTCTGAAACCAGCTGAGGCCCACCCAGGCCAAAATGGGCATGTCCAGTATTGAACCGGACAGTTCGGTAGGCGATTCTTAAAGGGGCCACGCGCTTTCTTTCTTTCTTTCTTTCTTTCTTTCTTTCTTTCTTTCTTTCTTTCGTTTTTTGTTGTGTTTGTTTATTTAACAACTCTTGGGTCCTTTTTTTTCGGAATTTTTTTCTGAAACCAGCTGAGGCCCACCCAGGCCAAAATGGGCA